AAGGAAGGAAGGAAGGAAGGAAGGAAGGAAGGAAGGAAGGAAGGAAGGAAGGAAGATGACTGACATCTTCGAGCTTCCCACAAGGAAAGTCAGTGGGGAAGCTGGCAGCAAGTTTTAAGTCACTCCCACTCCCACTGCTTTTTTGCCCTTGGTCATTCTGTTTCTCTGTTTAGGTAAGGAAATATCTCTGAAACGATGACTCAACAGGTCATGGGTTGTCTAATATTGTTTATGGACTCCATTGTTTCATTAGAAGTATAAAGTATGCAGGTTCTCCTAATTAGCCAAAAGCTGTAGTTGCTGTAGAAATGAGGTCAGGAAAAAGTTTAATGCATGCATTTCACATATAGAGGAATAAATCCTTTTTAAAATAAAGAGCAGGACCTTCAATCCATTTTAGAATTTCCCTATATTCTTTTTAAAAAAGAATAATTCAAGAGAAGTAAACAATAACAAACTTGATTTGGTCTCTTTAATATAACATTAGCTCATTGTACTATACAGGAAGGTATTACAAGGAAGACATTCAGTTTTCAAACGGATTGTTAAATATGCAAATTGAAGGGTTCTGGAGGAAAAAGAGGCTGTTATCTTGCTGCCTGCCTATATTTGAAGCAGTAAACAATAAAACATATTGTTTCACACAGAGATAAGCCAAAAAGCTTTCTAGTTTATCTTATGCCTTTGTTGCTACTATCTTGGTAGCTCTAAACATAATGCTGTAGGTTTGCATTTTAATCCAGAAAGCACTGCTTAGAGCTATTTTCTAAAGCCAAATATAATTCAGTTGGCACAGCAACTTCCATGTTGATTAGAACTACTTCATATGTTAAACATTTAAAGTATAGGAAAAGTATAGAAGTAATGTACTCATTACTTGCACAACTCTGAATGCTTTGTACATTTTATGTTTGTTTTCTTATATGAGTGTAATTTGTATAGATTATATGAAGGATTATAGTACACCTAAGCTATAAAAAATTGTGCAAAAGATTGTAATGAAGGTGAGTAGACTCACTGGGAAGAAACAGAATGCTCTATTCCTTCCATGGCAGGATTCTGCATTTCTGTGTGACTAGCATAAAACCCAAGTAATTCCTGGAGGAGAGGTGGCGCATCCTCCAGCAACCCAATTTAAGGGCATGTGGAAGAGGGATATGACAATTCTTCCCCTGATAACCCCACTCAAGGGTAAAAACTCAGGCTAGTAATTTTTTTCAGACTGGTAAATTTTGAGGGTTCATTTACTATAATTAATTAATTACAATAATTAATTTACTATAATGGCTCCATCTTCTGATTTATTGCCAAATATGTATATTTTTTAATAGGTACCATATAACAACTCTCTTTGAAAATGATCGTCACTTTTCTCATCTTTCAACTCTGGAACGGGAAATGGCATTTCGAACTGAAATGGTTAGAACTTATAATTTAAGTGAAATTATTACTTTTAGCCCTCCTAATTTTACAGTAAAGATATCAAATAGTACTTATGTTATTTTTGATTGTTTTTTAATGCAAACTACCATGAAAGTTACTTCTTGAATCAGAAAGATATTGCAGTCATTTAGATGATTTAGAAATATTTTTTATTCTTATTCTACTATTTTAAGGCAAATACTCGTCACAGATTTTTTTACTGATGTTGGTAAATTCTCAGATAAATGCAACTTGTTTAGATTAACTCTTTACTGAATTAATTAGTCCTCTTAGAGTCATTGGAAGTCAGGCAGCCTATAAATTGTATCAATAAATTGTATCAATAAATTGTATCAATAAATTGTATCAGTAAATAAACTATATTAGCTATAAGAGATATTTTTAGTTATGCTTGGAATAGAATTTATGGAATTTAAATTAGTAATGGCTAAATGTAGGTCCAGTCATTGTATTTAATTTATTTTGTGCTAGTGATTTGGACTGTTTGGGAGATTAAGAATTCAGCACCTAGTACAAGCCAGTTAGGAATGTATTGTTTGATTCTTTAGATTCATACCCTGCCTTTCCTCCATTAGCGCAAATGGTTTATGAAGCACTTTCTTCTCTAATATATTCCACAGCAACTACCTGATGACTGGCTTCAGTGACTGAGTGTAGACTTGAACTTGGGTTTCCCCAGTTCTAGTTCCACTCCTTAACTAAGCAAGTGCTGATTTTCATGCTACATTACAGATAATTTGTTGTGGTATTTTGTTTTATTCTTGGTTTATTCTAGTTCTGATCTATAAATAGTAAAATCAATTTAATAGACACTATTTACTGTATTTATTGCTGTAACAAATTATACAACACTATTGTTTAAATATCTTCTCTTTAGGGTCTTTATTATTCCTATTTCAAGACTATAGTTGAAGCATCATCATTTTACAGTGGAGTTTGGATGATTATGAATGACAATCTAACTGAATACCCTCTTGTAATAAACACACTGAAAAGATTTAATCTCTATCCAGAGGTAAGCCACTTTTTATTTAATTTTTTTTTAGGTATTAGCCTACTACAGAATTAGATACGTACGTTTCATTGAAATAAATAATAATTTCAACACAGAATGTAACTTTTAAAAATAAATTTTGTTGACATCCAGGGACTATCAAGTGGGAAGTGAAAATATTATAAACAGAAGATCTTGGCTTCATGTAATGCCTCCACAGAAAAGAAAGAATTTCTGTGAAAAATACCTGTCAATAAAATTTCAGTGTGAATTCATGCTACCTTGTAGAAGTATTTTATTGTCTTCAGAACATTTAGTGTGCTATCTAGTTCATTGTTAAACACACGAAAACTTGCCAACATATGTATATGTTTGTTTGTTTTACAGTACACTTATTTATTGTATAGTGTCAGTTACCATTTTATAAAAATACAGTAAAACTTAAAATGAAGTTTCAGGGAGGAAAAAAAAGATCTTAGAGTGTTCAGATACTGATGAATAGCAACAGATAAGCTCTTTTAACAGATGAGATAATCTTAGACAATGTTCTTTTGAAATTATAATCCTATTTTCTGCACAGGTTGTGTTAGCCAGCTGGTACCGCATGTATACAGGGACAATGAATTTTATTGGCATTCAGACCCAAAAATGTTGGACTGTGAATAGGGGGGAAGGTCTGAGTCCTGTTGAAAGCTGTGAAGGCAAGTGTTACTTATTTATTCATTTTGAACATTGCAAAAATGGAATGTGAAATAATATAAATATTCCTTTTTTAAAGGTTACTAAGAATTAGAATTTGTGCAGTATCCATTGACTGATTAAAGATTTAGTTCATCATCAATTAACATTTTAATAATTTGTGCATATTGCAGAAGTCTTAGTATAGATACCTTATTTTCAGAAAGGATAAACAACACTTGATAATAACTTGTTAAAAGAAAATAATGTAATTGATAGATATAGATATATAAATAATTTAGAAACCTAAAGTTATAAAAACACAATGTGTATGACCAAGGAAAGTAGAATATATAGATTTGAGTCCAAGCAGCATCACACTAAATACTCATGTGTCAATGGGCAGCCTTCTGTAGAACCTATTAGGCTTTTTCCTATTTGACCTTTTACTTTTTAAGTATTCTAATTTTAAACAAAATTAAATGAGAGCAAAGCATAAGTCACTCAACATTGAAGTTGAAAGGAAACACACCCAGATGGGAGCGAAGTTAGGACTTTCAGCTATAATTCAAGGGGTTTGACAAAAGTGGGACATTAACCATTTAGGAAGTACAGCCAGTGGCATACTCACACACCCATCGTTGGTGGCTCATAAGTAATAG